CTTTGACATTAGACAATATATTTGGTTAAAAATAAGGTAAGTCTGTTTGAATTTAGTCATAATTCAAACAGTAGTGATCATATTAATCTCAATAGTTTTGGATTGTTGTCTACTTGGATCTTCTTTAGTATTAAAAATTATAAGGATATTAGGGTATGGTACATGGTTAAATGGTTTCTCTGTACTTATTCCATGTACTCGGGGTAAGTGTGTGCCTATGTGAGCACATCTCCGCAAAATCAATGTTTAAATGATTCTTTAAATTTGATTATTTTAATATTGATATCAGCTTATTGCACCCCTTAATCTTTTTTCAGGCTTGAGATCAACTATATAGAACTCACATAGGCAGAGTTCTCTTGTTAAAAAGTCGGTGAAAACTATTTTTTTAGGAAATATAATAATTTACAAGAATTATGCACTTTGTTTTTTGTTTTTTTAATAATGACGGTACCAAGCTAGTTCTTGCGCACCTCTACTATTCTTTCGGAAACCTGCTACCTCCATCAACACAAGTATCGGATAACTTTGCTCACTAATACTTTAACATATTAAGAAAAAACTACATAGTATTTTTTTCGTTTCTACTGGAATTTGACACTAATCTTGAAAGTTTGTACACATATCGTTAACACACTTCCTGAATAAAAATACTAGGTTTTGGACTTGGCCCTATGAATTTCACCCCAGATTACTTTGTATCTTTACAAGCCCAAATACATTATTATTAGTAATATTTGGTATCTTAGGCTTCTAAGACATAGGGAGATTTGCACAAATTGGGGTTTTAGTGCCGTCATTTAAATTTCAACATCCCTATCTTCGTAAGGTTGGGTTAGGTCACTTATGGGATTATTGTTGTTGTTGTTTAAAAGAGTTCTACAAAAATAAATATGCAGCCAATATTAGGTAGCAAAATCCCGACAAATTGTCTTTATTCCAAATTGATGGACAAAACTTGCGAATCACCCATACTTTCAAAAATCAATAAACCCATATTGTATTCTTCAACACAAATTTTTTCAAGCTCAGCAAATCCAATAAATGGAATTGTTCAATTTTCTTCAACTAAACCAATCCTCATTAATATGTATAAAAATTATAAGATAATGGGCATTACTCACTCAAATTTCTAGTAGAATTTACATCATATAGCTACTCTAAAGGGATGATATTTAGGAATTAGCCAGTACGTCCTGAATTTCTGTTTTTCAATTTAATTTTCAAGGCAAAAGTGTCCTGAAGTTAAGATTTTTAGTTTAAAATTTCAAGATAAAATAAGTATTGACTAATCTCTAAATAGCATCCCTGAAAATTACTATCTATGTACTTGCCCCGAATTTCTATTAGAATTAAGCATTGGATCTTCAAGGAGGAGGAGGAATAGTAGAAGCAATAATAAGAGGGAGAAGAAAACAGAGATGTTTTGGCGGAAATCTGTCTTTGCACAATTTTTCTTAACATGGTTAAAAGTTAAATACCAGTTGTTAAGAAGGACATCCAACGAAACTTTTTGCAAAGGAAAATTACGCGACACATCAAATACATACACTATATTTACCATCCGTAGTTATACTTTCAACAAATTTATCATTTGTAGCTATATGTTAATTCATATCAAATCTCTGAAACAAGAGACTAATTATTTTGAATCGAAACAAGAGTGCAATAAGGTCTCATAGCTTAGAGCCCGTTTGACTTAGCTGATTCAAAGTGGCTGATAAGCATTAAGTACTGAAAAGCACTTTTAAGTGCGGAAACTGATTTTAAAAATAAGTAGTTACGTGTTTGGATTTAAATGTTAAAACTGATAATAAACAGTTAAAGTGTTTGGTAAATAGGTGCTGATACGCATTTTCTTGTGATGTAATGACTTAAATGCCCCTTAAACTATTCACACTAATAAATGTATACTTATACAAGATTTCAAATTCTAAATTGATTGATGTATAAATTAACTTATGGATTTACTTTTAGTTCAAAATTGATTAGATTAAATTAATATTTAGTAAGTATATATTATTTTAGCAACATTGAGCTAAAGTACAATAAGAAGATCATTATTACTTAGTCAATTTTCATTACCAACACAATGCAATTAAAAATAAATAATTTAGTGCATATTTCACAATAGAATTTTGAATGATGCAAAACAACCGCGTTTTCAAAGAGATGAAGAAAGTCGATTTACAGAAGATAGATTTTTTCTAACTCAAATTAATTTGATTGATTTATGTTGACGATAAAGAGCTTTTTGTTGTGGTGGACAATATTTCTGAGAAATAAGCCCAGAAAAGATGACGGAGTGAAAGTGAATAATAGAGTTAAGAGTTTTATTAAGATAAATATAGTTCAGAATTATATAATAATAATAATAATAATATGGACAAAATAGTAAAAAATTTCGTCCAAATACGTAGATAAGTCGAAAAGTGCTTATGAACTAGTTTGACCAGCTTATAAGCTTAGCCAAACACCCTTTTAGTCAGCAGACGCTTTGAGTTTGACTCTCAATCTATTCGCCTGGGGGATTTGCATCTATACCCAATTTTTGGGTCACAATTTAACTTATACCCGCTTTGCAAAAAAATTTACAAGCGTACCCACTTTTCGGGTAACTTCAGACATATGGGGCCTGAAGTAGCAAGAATTTATGTCTGAAGTTTGAACTTCAAAATTTTTTGCCTGAAGTGTGACCTTATCAAAGTAAAACTTCAGATATTTTCGTCTGAAGTTTGGCCTGACTTGCAAAAGCAATAAAAAAAACTTCAGCTCGTAGTGCAAACTTCAGACAAAAATTAACTTGATAGTGTCTGAAGTTTGTCCCTACAGTCCCAAACTTCAGTTGATGTTTCTTAGAGTTTTGACAATAAATTCTTGTTTTATTATTTACGTACTTTGTGTTGGGGTGCAAACTTCAGACAAATTAGTCTGAAGTTCTTCAGTTTGTAGTGCAAACTTCAGACAAATTAGTCTGAAGTTCTTTAGTTTGTAGTGCAAACTTCAGAAAAAATCAGCTTGTTATATTTGAATTTCAGATAATTTTTTCTGGCATGATAGTTGCAAACTTCAGACAAAATTTAACCTGGCAATGTCTGAAGTTTATCCCTACAGTCCCAAACTTCAGTTGATGCTTCTTCGAGTTTTGACAATGAACTCTTGTTTTATTATTTACGTACTTTGTGTTGGGATATATTAATGTTTGAGAGACAGTAGCGAGCCTTTCTTTCTTCTTGATTTATCGCTTTGTCCAATTTTCAAAAACGATAACATGTGTAACTTACAGGATAACATGTTTGAGAGAGAAAAGAAGAAGAAGAGGAAAAGAAGAGGAGGAAGAAAGGAGCGCAAAGGTCGCAGGATCTGAAGTTGTCAAAATTAGGGTATATGTTAAATAATTCTAAAAATATGGGTATAGGTTAAACGAGGGCGACCAAATAGGGCGCCCCATGCAATTTTTACGGTTATATTTACATTTTTTGCAACTCGTATCTGGCCCAACCGATTGAACTAGCACGTAAAAATTGCACGGGGCGCCCTACTTGGTCGCCCTCATTTACCATATACTCACTTTTTAAAAAAATTTTAATTTGCACCTACTTTTTAAACAACTTCAGGCCTCTTCATTCTCCTCCTTCGTTTTCTTCTTCTCCTTCTTCTTCTTCTTCCTCTTTTTCGGGTGACAATAATTTTAAATGATGGTTGTGAACATATTTTAATGTAGTTTATGATATTTTATAATGGTGAGCTATTATGACGCTTTATTTTTTGCTATTGCTTAAGGTTTCTTCTTCTTCTTCTTAATTGCAAAATGGGTTCATTAGATTTATTGTTGTTTTGACAAATTGATGATTGGAGTTTGTTCCTGATGATATTCGGAGGTTATGTTTTAAATTTGAGCTCATTTGGAGTAGGTTTAGGTATTAAATCGTAAATTGGATTGTTATAATTCGAAGAACAAATTTCTGTTTCTGGGCAACTTGCATTTCAGGCCTATTTGGCCTTAAGTGCATAAAAACGTTGGTTGCACTTCATACCTTTTGGCCTTAAGTGCATCTGAAGTATAATTTTTCACTTCAGACTTATTGGCCTTAAGTGTAGCAAAACGTTTGTTGCACTTCAGACCTTTTTGCCTTAAGTGCATCTGAAGTGTAAATTTTCACTTCAGACTTATTGGCCTTAAGTGCATGAAACCATTGGTTACACTTCAGACCTATTTGCCTTAAGTGCATCTGAAGTAAAAAATTTCACTTCAGACTTATCGGCCTTAAGTGAATGAAAACGTTTGTTGCACTTTAGACTTTTTGGCCTTAAGTGCATCTGAAGTGTAAATTTTCACTTCAGACTTATTGGCCTTAAGTGCATGAAACCATTGGTTACACTTCAGACCTATTTGCCTTAAGTGCATCTGAAGTAAAAAATTTCACTTCAGACTTATCGGCCTTAAGTGAATGAAAACGTTTGTTGCACTTTAGACTTTTTGGCCTTAAGTGCATCTGAAGTGTAAATTTTCACTTCAGACTTATTGGCCTTAAGTGCATGAAACCATTGGTTACACTTCAGACCTATTTGCCTTAAGTGCATCTGAAGTAAAAAATTTCACTTCAGACTTATCGGCCTTAAGTGAATGAAAACGTTTGTTGCACTTTAGACTTTTTGGCCTTAAGTGCATCTGAAGTGCAATTTTTCACTTCAGACTTATTGGCCTTAAGTGCATGAAATCATTGGTTGCACTTCAGACCTATTTGGCATTAAGTGCATTTGAAGTGTAATTTTTTCACTTAAGACTAATTTTTTTTTTAATTCAGACCCGATAAGTCTGAAATTGATCGTAAAGTGGGTACGCTTGTAAACTTTTTTACAAAGTGGGTATAAGTTCAATTGTGACCCCAAAATCGGGTATGGATGCAAAAGCCCAATTAGCACTCCCTCGGCCCAATGGATACTTGATTCTTGTTTCCGTGTCTACAGAAATCTCTGTAACAACAACAACAGCCGATTCTTCATAGGTTGATGGGTATAACTCTACCATCCACTTAACTCTCTCAAACCTCTATATACTTTCACTCACTTGCATTAACTTAATTGGCTTTGAGAATACTAATTTTCTCCCCTTTCCCTTCCTTTTCTTCAAATTTATAATTCAAGCAATTACCTTTGAATGGCATACTTATAACTCTCCAGAGATGTTAGTGCCCACCATCTTTCTTCGTATTTTTTCTTGATATATCTTCATAAAGATTGTTAGTTGTATACGTTAAGTTTGAGCTAACGCCTTTTCAAGCAATTTTGTGCTAACGCGACATAAGTGTTCTTTAACTGGGTTGTAAAACTTTTCCTCTATAGTATCAAGAAAGCCTCAATTTTTTGATTTTTTTTTCTCGGAAGATGCTGAAACGTGTCAAAGCTAGCACCTTTATCCATGCTATTCGCTCCTATAAAAGATTTTGTCACTTTGAGTCCAAATCCCATTTGGGTTTTGGTTCTTTAGACTCATCAGTTAAAACCAATGTTGGGATTTTCTGGGATTTGGATAACAAACCACCCAAGTCATTCCCACCATTTGATGCTGCCACAAAGCTAAAAAAGGCTGCTGGGGAATTTGGGGTTGTGAGATATACAGTAGCTTATGCTAATCGACACGCGTTTAGTTATGTTCCTCCTTTAGTTAGGCAGCAAAGGAAAGAGAGGAAAACATTGAATTCTTTGGAAAAAAGTGGAGTTGTAAAGGTAGAGGAGCCTTATTTATGTAGAGTGTGTGGTAGGAGATTTTATACTAATGAGAAGCTTGTAAATCATTTTAAGCAAATTCACGAGCGCGAGCATACGAAAAGGTTGAGTCAGATAGAGTCTGCTAGGGGAAAAATGAGGGTGAAGTTGGTGGCTAAGTATGCAATGAAGATGGATAAGTATAAGAATGCTGTTAGGGATGTTTTGACTCCGAAAGTTGGGTATGGTTTGGCGGATGAATTAAAACGAGCTGGTTTTTGGGTTAGGACTGTTTCAGATAAGCCACAAGCTGCTGATGTTGCATTGAGGAATCATTTGGTTGATGTGATGGATAAGAGGATGGTGGAGTGTGTGGTTCTTGTGTCTGATGATTCGGATTTCGTGGAAGTCTTGAAGGAGGCGAGGTTGAGGTGTTTGAAAACAGTAGTTGTTGGTGATTGCAATGACGGTGCTCTTAAGAGGACAGCAGATGCTTCTTTCTCGTGGCAGGAGATCATGATGGGGAAGGCCAAGAAAGAAGCTGTCTCTGTTGTTGGCCGGTGGAAGGACCGAGATGTTCTGAAAAGATTGGAGTGGACGTATGATCCAGAGGTGGAGAAAAAGCAGTATTACTCCGAAGTTGAGAGCGATGATTCTGATGGACTGTTTTCAGGGGAAGATGATAACAAGGATGCTGATGCTTCCATCTCTAAGGAAGATGCTTGTGCATGGTGGAAGCTAGATTCTCGTTCAGGTACTTTTGATTTACTGTAACTTTTTGATACAAAGTTAAGTCTCTGACTGATGAAGTTCTCCACTTTGGACTTCCTAGCAATCATTTTGCATTGTACTTTATTCAGGACATGATTGATGCAGCAATTGATTGTTGGCTTCAGCTTCATTCTTATAAAAAGGAGAGATGAACTGGTGATTCCACTCTAGATTCCATCCTCAGAAGGCTTTCCTAACATTGCTTTAAGTTATTAGTGAAAGACGGACACATATGATGGATTACCTATTTCAATTGATTTAGCTGCCAACTGTAACTACTGAGGTTTTGTATGCTATAATCCAGTGGGGAGGAGGTTGAAGTTAATCTCAGAGGCAAACATAAGGGTCCAAATTCACGAGAGTGTCTTTACAATTGGTAACAGAAGTGCTATTCATGTAAGTACCAGCAGTTTTCTCCAAGATATTGTTATGGATTACAATTTTAAAATCAACTCTCCAAGATAATTATCTTTCAAATTGCAAAGGACTTGGAACTCTTAATCTGTTTGTACACACACAGATTGCTTGAAATTTGCAAGTTTCAGTTTGCATTTGCTGCAGATATAACAAATAGATTTCACTTCCTACCTCCACTTTACAGCTAAACATCAAATTCAGCTTGGAACTCAACACTAGTCACTAGAGATAGAGCAAGGATTTTAACTTTATGGGTTCTAAATTCTAGGATAGCGACATTAGGTGTTAGTAACTAGATTTTGAATAATTTTTGTACATATTTGATGGATTTCTTAATACAAATATAAGATTTGGACTAAAGCTATTGGGTTTTGTCCGATCCTGTAGCTAACCTTCTAGCTCTGCCCCTGCTCAACATGTTGATGTCTCGCATCAACTATTGTATAATACCGTATCGCGTGTCTATCAGAACTTCATGATGTACCTCTGATTCTAGGTGTTGAAATTTCACTTTCCTTTGCTCAATTCAAATTGTAGGATTTTTAGGTTCCAACTTCCAACTTAATGTTTCCTGTGCTTTTGATGTGGATAGATATCCTAAGGTTTAGAATTTCTTAGTGAGAAAGAACACATTAACTTCTCTTATTTGTTCCCATCATCTGTAATATTTGAAACTTCTATATAAACAAGCATCAGATAATCCAATTTTCTAAAGAATACAGAATGTCACTAAAGCATCATGTGACACCATAACTGACTGTGCTGAAGAAAATCATCTCTTTGGTTCTCCTTTTTTGTATGCATAATCAATGTGTTAATTTAATTGCTCTAAACTTTATGGGTCTATAGAAAAATTATTCACTATTTAAGCTATTAAGTAATTAATTTCAAGAGTCATTATCTGTTATCCTATCTGGCTATTTATGATATATTATTTGATAACATTCAAAAGATAATACAAGTATCATTTGTCAAAATCCTCCTTGAAGTATAGAACTAGTTTTTTAGGTCGATTCTGTAAGGAATTCTGTTAGTTAACTGAAAGGTTCATAACAGTTCTTCTAATTGAGGTAGTAGCAGAAGAAGGTTTTTATGGATGCGTAGAAGAAACCTCGATATAAAGAAAAAAAATGCAAGAAAGGGAATACTTGAACTTGACATCAATAAGCGAAGTATTTTCTCCCTGTGTTAATAGCTTTAACACTTTTAACTGCGTACGCGAGGCTAGAAAAGCTCTTTTGAATTTTCTTGGATTGGCCTTTCATAGAGTTCTTAAAATTTGTAAGCATTCAAATTCAGACAGCCTTGCATTTGTATTTGTATGGTTTCTGTTTGTAATAGCCATGAACTTTTAGCATATACTAATAGTATGAAGCTGGTGCAATGTTTCTCCTAATAGTAGTTCCCGTACCCAAAGTAAAGCATCCGGTTGACAGTGCCTATTCTTTGTGGTTCACTCTCTGTTTTCTGTTTCATTCAGTGTGCTTTCTCTTGGTCTTGGATGTTGGATTTCATGAGTTGATAAGCATGTAAGGAAAGATCCTCAGCAGTTAAAAAAACTAAAGTAAGTGGACATGCTTCTTAAATAGTAGCCATTTCTTTGTTATGATGTGCTTCTTAGGCAAGTAGTTATATATTTGTAACCAATCTTCTTTTGGTGTTATTGTTATAAAACACTAACAAAGAGAGGATTCTCGTTTCTTACTTACTTTTTAAAATGTCTTTTACTACATTGGGGGAAGGGAATGGTGAATGGGATAATGAGAATCGAACTTACACGGATTGTGTTTGAAACTCCTACTGAAGATAGTGGAATTTAGGTATTTCTCATTTATTTCCAACAATGGTTTCCTAAGAATCTGCGCACCTAATTTGTTGTCTATTTTCTTTCCTTGACATAGATTTTGGGTCATGTGTAAAGAGGGACCTTTGAAGCAGAACAAAAAAAATGATAAGTTCGTCATACATCAAACCTGGAACGTTGCAGCTATAGTAAGGAAAGTTCAGGGTACAACAGTACAAAAGGCTGTTACTGTCAAATAAAGAATATTTGATAAATTTAATTGAAGAGCAGCAACGACAAGCACTACAACAACCATGAATAGAAGCCCAGATTCAGCAGAACCATGTCGATTTGTAGAACATACCACGACTGCAACAAATGAACAAGCCGAAGAACAAGACAAGTACGCATATATTGTGATTAAAAATGTTTATGTTGAAAAGAATTTTTACATAGTTATTTCAATTGAATAGAGAGCAATTTTTCTTCGCATATCGAAGCTCCAACATTTTCATGACAATACTTTTGACGTTATTGCTTGAAGAATTTATGCTTCAGCTTGAGATTTAAGCGCCCAACAGTCCTGTACTTTTAAGCTCCTCCCCCTTTTCTCAGCTGAAATAGAGAGCTGTGTTTGAGACCAACATCATTTATCATTTTCATTAGTTATTTCATTGAAAGCCTTTTCCTTTTATACAGCAATACATGGAATAGCACGGGCTAGTCGGTTTTCGGACTGATAATCGAAAAATAACCAGCGTTTGTAAAGTCATTGAGAAATAACCATTGTTTTGCTAAAACACGGAAAGTTCCAGCATAATATGCGTGATTATGGAGCTCCTACGTATAAACTTCCAGCATATTATGTTGGAACTCCAGCACACGAAAAGTTCTAACATAATATGTTGGATTATGAAATTCCAGTACATTATGCTGGAAGCTTATATGTAAAAAAATTCGAACTCTAGCATATTATGCTGAATATTTCTGGATTTTTAAGCTTGTTTTTGTTCATATTTTATCTTTACATGAAAAAGTGACTAAATATCGATTACTTTTTAAACTCTGGCTATTTTTATTTTTTCCCTGAGCGTCGAAAACATGAACAAGTAGCTTTGTCATTGAGTTAGCAAAGTTGTATAATATCAGGTGCTCGGTGGAGTCTTGGGCTTAATTTTCTTTAGTTCCAGTTTCTTCTTTTACATCAGGATAGTTTTATCCTCTTGGGGTTTTCCCTTGTCAAAATTTTGTGGTAGAGCTTTACTTTGCAGGTTAGCAAATGAAGCAATTACAGTTAACAGATTGCAACTTGTCTGTTCTGTTATCCGAACAAGAACCTTTTTTTGTATTTGTTAACCATCTGGTATCCAGCCTACGAATTACATGACAATTGAAACATCCTTTTGCAGAAATGCAGGGTAAGACTGCGTACAATAGACCCTTGTGGTCCGGACCCCGCGCATAACGAGAACTTAGTGCACCGGACTGCCCTTAACCATCTAGTATCTAGAATCTATTGGCCCGGCTAATATAGATTCACGCGGCGAAGAGCCTAGTTAAGGGTGAATAACTTCTTATCAGGAATTTTTTCAACTCGAACCCAAGACCTTTGGTTACGGATGGAGGTATTCCATCCATCCAACAAAATCCCTTGGTGTTATCCATACAAGGGTCTGCTAAACATTATGCCTGTCTTGGAAGAAGTTTGGCGCCAACCTGTTGAGCCAAGCTGCCAAAAACTACTTATTTTAAAAAGTATTTTTATTTTTTCAGAAGTGCTTTTTTCAAAAATACTTTTAAAAAAAAATTGTTTGTGTTTGGCCAATTCATTTAAGTATTTTTTGCAACATTTGGTAAACAAATTGTGTTTGGCTAATCTTTCTAAAAAGTGATTTTGAGTGTTAAATTACCAAAAAAGATAGTACCAAGGTCTTATAATTATTTTAAAGAGAAAAATGAACTTAAATATTTATCGTAAGAGACTTTTATTATTTTCTATTTTATTAAACTAAAATATAAAACATAAAGTAAACATACATATTAAAGATTTAAATCAATATAACATATATAGTTATACCAATGCATATAATATTATCTAGTATAATTACTTATTGTCACTATTCAATATGAATTAAAAGTCTATTCCACAAATTACTATATATTGATAATCCACCATGAAATAATAAGTAAAGTCACTCACACATGATAATATTTTTCAATAATTTCATCTCTAATTCTATCACACAATGCCTCCATATTAGTGTGAGCACGTAATTTTTGCCTCACCAAAAACACTCCTATAAAATCCAAAAAAAATACATCTTTTCTAATTTTAATTTTTCATAGAATTTCTAGAAATTTCTTGTCAATTATTGTTTGCATTTAGTTGCATATTTAATATCTTAAAATTATGAAAAAACACCAAAAAATGTCCAAAATCTTCATTGCATAGCATTTTATATTTTATTTGCATTTTTAGGATTTAACTACGTTAATTAGTTGCATTTTTAAATGAAAATCACAAAAAATACCATGGTCATTTTATATTTTTAGCTTTTAGTCTTAATTTATTAATTTCCTTTCATTAGTTTTTAGTTAATAAATCATTTAAATATTATAAATAGTAAGTAGGTTAATTTTACAAATTAGATTTAAGTTAGGATTTAGTTTAGGGTTTTATTTAATTTGTTTAGGATTTAAAATCAAAGAAAAGAAACAAAGAAAGGAAAACAAGGCTTTTGTTTGTGTTGGGCCAAGCACCTCAGAGGCCCAAATTGGGCATATCTGCCCAGTCCACACCAAATACCCACCCGGTCCGTTTTCCCCTCATCAAAATAACCAAACGATCCCGTTTTATCATCTTTCAATCCCCACCCTCCATTCTATCTAATCCTACGGTCCAAAATTAACCCCTTCCCCCTTATAGCTGTCCGAACACCCCCCAAACCCTTAGGAACCCCTCATTTCTGTTCATCTTCTTCAACCCTTCTAAACCTAGCCGCCCTAAAAATTCCAAACCTTACTGGCCGGCGGCCACCACCCCAATCACACCCAAATTCACATCCTATACTCCTCACCTCACCTTCATCATCAGTCTACCATTAATTTTTCAAAAAGCTCCGCCAAACTTGTCGATTTCCAAATCCAGAAATTACTTGAAATCCAAGTTCGCCCCTTTCCCGTTTGGTCGTTTAAGTTCGAAATCGACATTAGTCGATTGCTCTTGATAAGAGCAATCAATTGATGACAATTTTTAACTCATCGCCTGGCCATCGGAGTCCGGCCAGAGTTTATCACCATCATTGTTAGCCATTCTTGCCTCAATCACTGTTTCCCTTAAAGGTAAATCAGCACATCTCTCTTCTCGTTCTTCCCCATTCTTTTGTTGTTTTTCTTTTCTTTTGATTGATTATTTAGGTTTTAATTTTAATTGCATGCTTAATTAGAATAGTTAATGAATTGATTTAGTTAAGTTTAGTCAAATCTTGTTTGCATCTTTGATTATAATTAAAATTCAAAATACAGCATGTTATTCTGTTTTTCTTTTTGGGCTTTTCTTTGAAGCCAGATTTGTTCTGTCTTGGGCCATTTGTCCATGTCATTTGGCCCAGACCTAAGTAGATATTCTACTTTTAGAAGGTAACAGCTGGCGATTTTTCAGTTAAGAAAATATTCCCTTCTCCTCTCACATTCCCTGATTTCACGCTGACAAAATTCCCTCTCCTGACAGACCCTCTCATTTTTTTTCATAGCATATATACACCCTTCACACACACACAAAAAAAAGACATTCAGCGTTCCTCTCCAATACACGCACGGATATACACTGGAATTCTCTAAAAAATTTCAGAATCCCCTCTTATTTTGTGCACTGATTTCTCAAAAGGAACTCTCTGAAAATTCCAAAAAGGTTTTCATAAGTTATTCTCTGCTTGATATGCTATTCAACTACTGGTTTCTTCAAGGCGGTGTCAAATTGTTGAAGAAAATCTGTTGCTGTTCATTTTCTTTGCTGGAATTCCGAATCTCATCATCTAGTTTCAGATCTTTACTTGTCTTATCTAGTTGATTTTATGCACTTAGGTACGTTTTTGTTTACATTTTGTAGTCATCAACTTGAATGGATAATTGCAAATTGGATGTTTTACATACTTCATCATATTTTTAGTCTGTTGTTCACTACTGATTCCTTATAGATGTGTGGATGTTCGCTTTACTGGTATGAATTGAATGTTTTACTTGGTTTTGTGTTGTTTAAGTTTGGTTTCATATATCCAGTGTGTTTTAGACTGTTTAGTGTTCATCCTTTGTTGATTTTTGTTTTGCATATGTTGAAACTAATTTAATTTGTTAAAAATACAGCATTAATCAGTTCATTATCTTCTATAGCCTGTTATTGTCTAACTAATGATTTGTGCTTAAAATGGTATTGAAATATGGCGGATGGATGGATTTGACCACAAGTTGGTCGGAGTCATCTCTGAAGAAGCCAATACAGCACTCTAAATTGCAGAATTACATTGTGTATTGGTTTCATAGCTTTTCACACAGTTAACAGCTTTAGATTTCGATGACTAGCTATAGAAGTTGGTATGAGTTGAAGTGAAGTTCGTTGACCATATTTGCTAGAATAGCTATTACTGACATATTTGAGTGACAAATTTAGTTATGAGAGATTGGTGTTGTAATTATTATTTGAACCATATATATTCATGTTGGGATTATGCTTAAATTACTATGTTTTTCTTTCAATAATAGATGAAACTTTGAGTCATTAAGTTTGTCCTTAGTTGTTACGCCTAAAAATTGGCCCAGCGAAGCTTCGAAATTATTTTGGAGTCCTAAAAGACTTTGGACCCATGGTTAAGTCTATTTCTGGGCTCACTCAATGAGCCCGTGGCCTGTTCTTCTTTTATAAGGCAGAAGACGTGTTAAGCTATACATTGAAATTCATTTTTATATGTATATGTAATTGCTAGAAGTCCAATTTGAGTGCTTAAATTAATTTCAGCTTGTACTAATTTTCGGTTTAAAAAATATACATAAACTTGATTAGCTGAAAGAAGAAACATAACTTAATTACAAGCTGCCATTCATCGACCAATGGGATTCTTTTTATGCAATACGGTTAATCCCCAGAACTTTCTTCCCAAGCAGACCTTTGGCACTCTGAAATAGTATGAGCCCAATGAATGAAATTCCATAAGCTCTTGACGTTCACACGTAATTCCAAAACATAAGAAGAAATAATAGATAAACATTTAGGCGCGTTTAAATAAATCATCGTGGCTATCGATTCCCGTGGCATAGTCATGATACGTAATCCCCAATTCGAGTGCACATGTGACCCAACTCTAACTTCAAACAATAATAAAAATAAACATGTTGTAGATCGTGGGTACGGCTCACGTGACGCGATTCGTAATATGTACAAAAACAAAAGAGTGCGTGACATCGCGGCTTGTTCAAACAAAATTTCATAAATCCCAAAAGTAATTAAATTCTATTAAAAGCGGTTAGAAAGTTAAAAAGCACAATAGGTTTTAAATATGTAATAAATCAGATAATTGGGCCAATTAATAGTTGAGCGACCGTGCTAAATCACGGAACTCGGGAGTGCCTCACACCTTCTCCCGGGTTAACA